TCACAGCAGACTTCTCAACAGAAACATTAAAAGCAAGAAGAGCGTGGGGTGAGATCTTCGGGCACTGAATGAAAATAACTTCAACCCCAGGATACTCTACCCAGCAAAGCTATCATTCAAAATAGATGGAGCAATAAAAGTCTTCCATGATAAGCAGAAACTAAAACAATATGTGACCACAAAGCCACCATTACAAAAGATTCTGCAAGGGATCCTGCACACAGAAAGTGACACCCAACTTAACCATGAAAAGGCAGGCAGCACCAAACCACAGGATAAGAAAAAGCAAGACAGTAGAGAGTAACATCAAGTTAGGTACACACAATCAAACCTTCAAACAACTAAGACAACTAAATGGCAGGAATCACCACATACCTATCAGTACTAACGCTTAATGTTAATGGACTTAATTCACCCATCAAAAGACACCGTTTGACAAAATGGATTAAAAAGAAGATCCAACAATTTGTTGCTTACAGGAGACTCATCTCACCGACAGAAATAAGCATATGCTTAGGATGAAAGGCTGGAAGAAGATTTACCAAGCCAATGGCCCCCGAAAACAGGCAGGAGTAGCAATACTTATCTCTGACAAAGTAGACTTCAAACCTACATTGATCAAACGAGATAAAGAAGGACATTCCATACTAATAAAAGGGGAAATAGACCAAAAGGAAATAATAATCATCAATCTGTACGCACCCAATGTCAACGCACCCAATTTCATCAAACATACCCTGAAAGACCTAAAAGCATATATAAACGCCAACACAGTGGTTGTGGGAGACTTTAACACCCATTATCATCAATAGATAGGTCATCCAAACAAAAACTCAATAAAGAAATCCAAGATCTAAAATATGCAATAGATCAAGTGGACCTAGTAGATGTCTACAGAACATTTCATCCAACCTCTACACAATATACATTCTTCTCAGCAGCCCATGGAACCTTCTCCAAAATAGATCATATCCTAGGGCACAAAGCAAGCCTCAGCAAATATAAGAAAATAGAAATAATACCGTGCATACTATCTGACCACAATGCAGTAAAAGTAGAACTCAACAACAAAAGTAAAGACAAAAAACATGCAAACAGCTGGAAACTAAATAACTCATTACTTAATGAAGAATGGATCATCGATGCAATAAAAGAGGAAATTAAAAAGTTCCTGGAAGTCAATGAAAATGAAAACACAACCTACCGGAACCTATGGGACACAGCTAAGGCAGTCTTGAGAGGAAAGTTTATAGCCATGAGTGCATATATTAAAAAGATTGAAAGATCCCAAATCAATGACCTAATGATACATCTCAAACTCCTAGAAAAACAAGAACAAGCAAATCCCAAAACAAATAGAAGGAGAGAAATAATAAAAATAAGAGCTGAAATCAACGAAATAGAAACCAAAAAAACCATACAAAGAATTAATGAAACAAAAAGTTGGTTCTTTGAAAAAATAAACAAGATCGATAGACCCCTGGCAAACCTGACTAAAATGAGGAGAGAAAAAACCCAAATTAGTAGAATCAGGAATGCAAAAGGGGAGATAACAACAAACACCATGGAAGTCCAGGAAATCATCAGAGACTACTTTGAGAACCTATATTCAAATAAATTTGAAAATTAAAGAAATGGACAGATTTCTAGATACATATGATCATCCAAAACTGAACCAAGAGGAAATTAATCACCTGAATAGACCTATAACACAAAATGAAATTGAAGCAGCAATCAAGAGTCTCCCCAAAAAGAAAAGTCCAGGACCTGATGGATTCTCTGCTGAATTCTATCAGACCTTTAAAGAAGAACTGATACCAACCCTCCTTAAACTGTTCCATGAAATAGAAAGGGAAGGAAAACTGCCAAACACATTTTATGAAGCCAGTATTACACTTATCCCAAAACCAGGCAAAGACACCTCCAAAAAGGAGAACTATAGGCCAATCTCCTTAATGAACATTGATGCAAAAATCCTCAACAAAATAATGGCAAACCGAATTCAGCAACACATCAAAAAGATTATTCACCACGACCAAGTAGGCTTCATCCCAGGGATGCAGGGGTGGTTCAACATACGAAAATCAATAAACGTAATAAACCACATTAACAGAAGCAAAGACAAAAACCACTTGATCATCTCAATAGATGCAGAAAAAGCCTTTGATAAGATCCAACATCATTTCATGATAAAAGCTCTAAGAAAACTAGGAATAGAAGGAAAGTTCCTCAACATTATAAAAGCTATATATGACAAACCTACAGCCAGCATTATACTTAACGGAGAAAAACTAAACCATTCCCTCTAAAATCAGGAACCAGACAAGGATGCCCACTATCTCCACTCCTATTCAACATAGTACTGGAATTCCTAGCCAGAGCAATTAGGCAAGAAGAAGGAATAAAAGGAATACAAATAGGTAAAGAAACTGTCAAAATATCCCTATTTGCAGACGACATGATCCTATACCTTAAAGACCCAAAAAACTCTACTCAGAAGCTTCTAGACATCATCAATAGCTATAGCAAGGTAGCAGGATATAAAATCAACATAGAAAAATCATTAGCATTTCTATACACTAACAATGAGCAAACTGAAAAAGAATGTATGAAAACAATTCCATTTACAATAGCCTCAAAAAAATCAAATACCTAGGTGTAAACCTAACAAAAGATGTGAAAGACCTCTACAAGGAAAACTATACACTTCTGAAGAAAGAGATTGAGGAAGACTATAGAAAGTGGAGAGATCTCCCATGCTCATGGATTGGTAGAATCAACATAGTAAAAATGTCGATACTCCCAAAAGTAATCTACATGTTTAATGCAATTCCCATCAAAATTCCAATGACATTCATTAAAGAGATTGAAAAATCTACTGTGAAATTTATATGGAAACACAAGAGGCCACGAATAGCCAAGGCAATACTCAGTCAAAAGAACAATGCAGGAGGTATCACAATACCTGACTTCAAACTATATTACAAAGCAATAACAATAAAAACAGCATGGTACTGGCACAAAAACAGACATGAAGACCAGTGGAACAGAATAGAGGATCCAGATATGAAGCCACACAACTATAAGCAACTTATCTTTGACAAAGGAGCTAAAAATATACGATGGAGAAATAGCAGCCTCTTCAACAAAAACTGCTGGGAAAACTGGTTAGCAGTCTGCAAAAAACTGAAACTAGATCCATGTATATCACCCTATACCAAGATTAACTCAAAATGGATCAAGGATCTTAATATCAGACCCCAAACTCTTAAGTTGATACAAGAAAGAGTAGGAAATACTCTGGAGTTAGTAGGTATAGGTAAGAACTTTCTCAATGAAACCCCAGCAGCACAGCAACTAAGAGATAGCATAGATAAATGGGACCTCATAAAACTAAAAAGCTTCTGTTCATCAAAAGAAATGGTCTCTAAACTGAAGAGAACACCCACAGAGTGGGAGAAAATATTTGCCAACTATACATCAGACAAAGGACTGATAACCAGAATATACAGGGAACTTAAAAAACTAAATTCTCCCAAAACTAATGAACCAATAAAGAAATGGGCAGTGAACTAAACAGAACTTTCTCAAAAGAAGAAATTCAAATGGCCAAAAACACATGAAAAAATGCTCACCATCTCTAGCAATAAAGGAAATGCAAATTAAAACCACACTAAGATTCCACCTCACCCCTGTTAGAATAGCCATCATCAGCAACACCACCAACAACAGGTGTTGGCGAGGATGCGGGGAAAAAGGAACCCTCTTACACTGTTGGTGGGAATGTAGACTAGTACAACCACTCTGGAAAAAAATTTGGAGGCTACTTAAAAAGCTGGACATCGATCTACCATTTGATCCAGCAATACCACTCTTGGGGATATACCCAAAAGACTGTTACTCCAGAGGCACCTGCACATCCATGTTTATTGCGGCACTATTCACAATAGCCAAGTTATGGAAACAGCCAAGATGCCCCAGCACTGACGAATGGATTAAGAAAATGTGGTATCTATACACAATGGAATTTTATGCAGCCATGAAGAAGAACGAAATGTTATCATTCGCTGGTAAATGGATGGAATTGGAGAACATCATTCTGAGTGAGGTTAGCCTGGCCCAAAAGACCAAAAATCGTATGTTCTCCCTCATATGTGGACATTAGATCAAGGGCAAACACAACAAGGGGATTGGACTATGAGCACATGATAAAAGCGAGAGCACACAAGGGAGGGGTGAGGATAGGTAAGACACCTAAAAAACTAGCTAGCATTTGTTGCCCTTAACGCAGAGAAACTAAAGCAGATACCTTAAAGCAACTGAGGCCAATAGGAAAAGGGGAACAGGTACTAGAGAAAAGGTTAGATCAAAAAGAATTAACCTAGAAGGTAACACCCACGCACAGGAAATCAATGTGAGTCAATGCCCTGTATAGCTATCCTTATCTCAACCAGCAAAAACTCTTGTTCCTTCCTATTATTGCTTATACTCTCTCTATAACAAAATTAGAAATAAGGGCAAAATAGTTTCTGCTGGGTATTGAGGGTGGGGAGAGGGAGGGGGCGGAGTGGGTGGTAAGGGAGGGGGTGGGGGCAGTGGGGAGAAATGAACCAATCCTTGTATGCACATATGAATAATAAAAGAAAAATGAAAAAAAAAAAACTCAGTCCAGCCAGGCACCAGTGACTCACACCTATAATCCTAGCTAATCAGGAAGCAGAGATCAGGAGGATCTTGGTTTGAAACCAGCCTGGGGGCTGCTGCGTACGTGTAACTGCTACCTGTCACACGGTGCTATCATATAGACTGGATACCTTCTAAAGCCTTCATGTAGCCAAGTTATCTGAACTTCACTTGCATAGGGGAGCCATGAGTAACATTCAACTTGTCTTCAAAATGAAGACTCCAACCAGTAACTGGCGTGACTTGGTGCTATGCCGAGTGGTTTGATTTTAGAATTTTCATGAGGATTAGCTCCAGCTGAAAATCAAGGTATTGCCATCAGAGAGTCTGCAAAGGTAGTTGACCAAGCCCAGAGGAGAGTGTTGAGGGGAGTTGATGACCTTGTCTTTTTCATAGGGGATGAAGCCATCGATAAGCCCACGTATGCTCCAAAGTGGCCTATCCGACATGGCATCATTGAAGACTCGGATCTTATGGAAAGGTTCATGGAGCAAGTGGTTTTTAAATATCTTCGCACTGAACCTGAGGACCATTATTTTTTAATGGGGTAATTACTATGCCTGTGGTGATAGACATAGAGGAAGTGGAAGACAGAGGAAGAAACAAGTTTGTGACTGTGGCTGTCCGAACTCATGAAGATACAGACTTCACGATGCTGAATTTGATTCAAGAACCGACAGAACCTAATTATTTGTTAAACATTTCCTTAAATGGGAGCACATAGATTTTAATTCTTTAAAGATGGAGAATTGTGTTCAGCACTGAATAATAAGGACAGAACCTCCACTGAATACTCCAGAAAATAGAGAATATCTTGCAGAAATTATGTTTGGATCATTTAATGTTCCAGGACTCTACATTGCAGTTCAGGCAGTGCTCGCTCTAGCAGCCTCTTGGACGTCTGGACAAGTTGGTGAGCACACACTAACTGGGATAGTCATTGACAGTGGCGATGGAGTCACCCACGTTATCCCCGTGGCAGAAGGTTATGTAATTGGAAGCTGCATCAAACACATCCCGATTGCAGGTAGAGATATTACGTATTTCATTCAACAGCTGCTAAGGGAGAGGGAGGTGGGAATCCCTCCTGAGCAGTCGCTAGAGACGGCAAAAGCCATTAAGGAGAAGTACTGTTACATTTGCCCTGATATAGTCCAGGAATTTGCCAAGTATGACGAGGATCCCCAGAGGTGGATCAAACAGTACACGGGCATCAATGAAGTCAGCCAGAAGAAGTTCATTATCGATGTTGGTTATGAGAGGTTCCTGGGACCAGAAATATTTTTCCATCCAGAGTTTGCCAATCCAGACTTTATGGAATCCATCTCGGATGTTGTTGATGAAGTAATACAGAACTGCCCTATAGATGTACGCCGTCCACTGTATAAGAATGTCGTTCTCTCAGGAGGCTCGACAATGTTCAGAGATTTTGGACGGCGACTACAGAGAGATTTAAAAAGAGTGGTGGATGCCATACTGAAACTGAGTGAAGAGCTAAGTGGTGGCAAGATAAAGCCAAAGCCTGTGAAGGTGCAGGTGATCACACACCACACGCAGCGCTATGCCGTGTGGTTTGGAGGCTCCATGCTGGCCTCAACTCCCGAGTTCTTTCAGGTCTGTCACACCAAGAAGGACTATGAAGAGTATGGCCCCAGCATCTGCCGCCACAACCCTGTCTTCGGAGTCATGTCTTAGTGTCTGCCCTGAAGCCACCGTTTGGCAGTGTCGTGCTGGGGAACAAGTGTCCTTCAGAGCCCAGAGAAGCCACGGCGCCTGTCCACACCTGTGTGGTGCTGGTGTCCTGCAGTGTGCTCACATCGCCCAGTGCATGGGACCCAGTGCAGCCTCCCTGTAAAGCCATTATCTGTGTGCAGCTGCTCTGTGTCCATCCCCTCTTCCCCCAACCCCCGCCCGTCTCCTCTCTCTGTCCAAGCTTCTCCTCAACAAATATAATTCTGAAGGAATTAAACACAACTTTTAAAACCATTAGCGAAGAAAAGGTGCGAAATAGTTCCCCCAGGAAGGAATGTGGGGGGAACCTCATCCTCCCAGCCTATTTTTGTAAATAAAATGTTATAAACTTGAAATACAAAAAAAAAAAAAAAAGAAAAAGAAAAAAAGAAACCAGCCTGGGTAAGTAGTTTGCAAGACCCTATCTCAAAAAAAAAAAAAAAAAAACACCACAAAAAAGGTTGGTAGAGTGGTTTGGGGTATAGGCCCTGAGTTCAAACCAAAGTACTGGGAAAAACAAAAACAGCCTTTTTTAGGTCTTTTCTATTAACTTTTTTTTAGCCAAATTAAAGCTTACTAGTGGCTGCCTAATTTCTAACTACAGCAGCCTAGTATGGGTCCTACTCTTTCTTTTTCTGCAGCAATAGACTTAGTTTGCATCCTCATCTTTCTAGTGGCCTTTCTCCCTAGTTCCCACAATACTCTCGGGGCTCACTCTTTCTTTGGTGCCATGTGTGCTTTTTCCATCTTGGTTTTCTTTATCCCTTTGCATTAATTGTTTCTCCGGATATTATCCTCCCTCTAGCCTTACTACTCTCAAGAATCCTATCACTGTCACAATTTTAACTATGGTTTTGCAATTTAAGTCTGCCTCTTCTCTCTCCTGAACTCCAGTTGATTTTTTTTTTAAATCAGCTTTATTAAGCTATAATTGACAAATAAAAACTATATATATTGAAGGCACACAATTTGATGTTTTGATATATGTATACCTTATGAAATGAGCACATAAATCAAACTATTTAACACATATATAGCCTCACGGGATTATTATATTCTTTCTTTCCTCCTCTTTTTTTTTTCTCCTCCTCCTCTTCCTTCTTCTTCATAATGATTGGAACACTTATGCTTTATCCTCTTAGCAAATTTCAAGTACACAATGCAATAGTGTTAACTACAGTCACTGTGCTGCATAGTAGATCTCCATCCTGAGCTTCAGGTTTAAAAGGCTTTTGTACTACTAGAAATTTCTGCTTAGACTCAACCCATCTTAAATGAACAACTTCTTCTTTAACAGAACTAGTTCCCCTTGTCCCTATTTCTGTCATAGATTTCAGCATTCTCTTACTTCCCTTTTGTTTGCCACCAATCAACAAGACAGCATTTATCATTACTTCCTTATTCTGGATACACAATTTTTGTTCATCACACTTCTCTCTACTTTCTTATAACACTGTAACTCTCAGAAAAGTGTTCCCATCAGTACAGAGCTCATAGGCGAGCAGAGCCTACATGGGGTCTCTGGCACCTCAGATTTCATGAACTCTGAGCCCCATAGAAACCATAGGTCTAGGCTGCTAGGGCCCATAGGACACAGCTTCTGTCACTGTGACAAGAAAACCCACCCTTGACTCACATGCTAAAGTGAGCATTTCCACTCTGCATGCAATAGCACACTTTGTGTTTGAGACTGGAAGTTGATTGAAACGCTGCTTTCTAAGTGGCCAGATGTCTATTCCACACCCCTCAATCTTCTTGGGATTTCCTAGGCTTGGAACTTACTCTGTCTCAGAGTGGGTTTTAGTGAGAAAGGCAAAAAAAATCAATCTGTCTTTCCTTGTCTGTGTCCTTCCCCTCTGCTTTTTAACACTGAGTGCTAAAATATGCAACAAAATGCTCATTTTTAAGTGAAGTGGAGGAAACCTGTCTTGCAAAGGCACCTGGTTTCTCAGTTTTTACAAAGGTTATATTAGTTTATGCTGCCCTTTTGTCTCAGCTTGACCATAATTACTGTTGGCTACTGTTCTTAGATGCTGGAGCCTCCCTTAATAGACCTGCCCTCTCCTTGTGCAAAAAAGAAGAGAGAAATACATTCATAAACAGATTCTTGTTCCTTATAACTATGCAAGCAAACTGCAGCAGAATAGTCACCAAAGAGAAAAGTAATATTTTCAGTGCCAATGGGACAGTGCTAAACTGACTTATCAACTTCAAACACCTTGAAGCAGTTGTTACTAAACTTCTATTATGTAATATGCATGGCATAGTGAGAGACAGATGCATCTGACATAGTCCTTCATTATGAGGAAGTTTCAGAAATCTGGTGTGAAACACATTTATAGAGTCTTCTTTGAAAAATAAATCTAACGCTGCGATGAAAATATAGTCTATCATTTAAGATTGATTTATTTTATTCTCATAAATTCTTTTTTGTGAGGCAGAATCTCTCTCTGTAGCCCAGGCTGACCTCAAATGCATAATGCTCCTGATTCAGCCTCTCTAGTGCTGGGATTTCAGGTGTGCACCACCAAGCATGGCTTCTAGTAAGTTTTATTGAGGTTTGCTACAGACTGGATGCTTGTGTCCCCCAAAATTCTTACATTGAAATTATAATTCCCAAGTGAGGGTATTAAGAGGTGAGCCTTGGGCAGGTGATTAGATCATAAGAATGTAACAGTTATGAATGGGAGTAGTGCTCTTATAAAAGAATGCCTAGAGAGTTCCCTTGCCCTTTCCATGTATGGATACAGAGAGAAGACTGCTAGCTGTGAAGCAGAAGCCTGGCACTCACCAGAGAAGAATCTGCCCATGCCTTGATCTTGAACTTCCTACCCTCTGGAACTGTGAGAAATAATTTTTTGCTGTTTATAAGCCACTCTGTCTATAATAGTTTATTACAGCTGCTAAATTGACTGAGACAAGGCTTTATAAAATTACTAAAAATACACCCTTAGAGCTTACTATGTGTCCACACTGAGCTGAGCAATTTTACCAGCATTATCACATTTAACCTTCAAAACAACCCTGTAAGGATGACAATGCCCTGTCTGTTTTATAAGAAAGAAATAGGTAACCCATACAAGTTTCCCAGCTTGTGATGACAGGGTTTGGGTTCATACTTAAGTTGTTTTCTCTCACTGATAACCACTGTTGTCTATATCCTCCCCAAAATGTGCATTTAAATTGGGTAGACTAGGTAAAAGTTCAGTAGATAGCAGATAAGAGCAGAATATTACCGCTTTGGATCAGAAGGAGAAAAAGGCACAGACACATGAGACACTGTGTTTAGATATCAGTGAGTAAACGGATATGGATGTTGGAAAAGCTTGGCGAGACACTGGAAAGTTGGAACTTAACTGTAAATAGCACTGAGTGCTTCTATAAGGAGTCATTTACTTTGTCACTGACAGGGAGCCACTGAAGGTTGACGGGAGGATAAAAAACATAGTTTATCCTATTATATGGAAACCCCATTGGGGGATTTAAGAAGGAGCTTCTGAGGAGGTTGGAGACAGGACAACACACTTTCCACACTGTACACTTTCCCAAATGCAGTCCAGCACTGCAGCATCCATAGCCCTGATCAAGTCCTTGCCTGTACACTTATGTCTCACCAGCACGGTGCATGGAATATTTGCTGACCTGAGAGTCAGTCAGACATCTGACTCAAATGTCAATGCAGCTTTGGGACAGGTCAGTAAATAATAGGCATCATGATCTCCTTTTCATAACCAAGAAGAGCCAGGAATCTCCACAGAGTTTGCTTGTACAACCTGGATGTAATGAAAGCAATTGAGCTTTCAGGTGTATGAGAAATCCTGGGGAGAACTGACCCCTCCAAGAAGTTCATACATATCCTTCCTGACTTAAGGAGAGACACCTGCTTCCTTTCTTTAATGCCTGTACCCATACATCCATCTTCCTGCCACATTTTTGTACATGCATGTCACTTTGTGCTGCTTCCTGAGGATGATTCTGAAAACGGTATGGTTTTCAAGTCAGACAAGTATCAGCTCAACCAGAAATTCTAAAAATAGCAGCCAGAGATGTCATTGCCCATTCAAGGCTTTCTGTGCACAACTGGTTATTCACTTATTATTCAGAAACAGACTGCCAGTGCCACTTTTAGTGGAGCTCCAACATACAGGAACCAGGGGTCCTCTATTATGAAATTGTCCCCTCCATCACCTGTTACTCTCAAGGACTCCTGTGGCCACAAGTTCTAGCAATCCAGTCAACTGATGTGACCATAAAAGATAACATCCTGTGCAGTAGCAATTGCATTTTGACAGAGAAGTCTCAAAGGAATTCCAGGTCTACTAGCAGGTCCAAAGGGAAGAAGTTTTCATGGAATCCAAATAGTGATGCTGGAAGGATTCTTAGAGACCAACTTACCAACTTGGCCAAAGGTTCCCTGTTTGTGGGTGGAAAGACAAAGATAACCCAATAAGCATCGTAAAGAAACACAGGAATGCTGATACATGTAGAGAGGGGACAAGAACAGTGTATAGAAGATTCCCAAGTCTGTGGACTCTCCTTTTGATAGACCTTCTGAATCTCCAGGTGGATCTGAGTGTGCTATTATCATCATGGCTACCAGACTGCAATGCCACCATCAAGGACCTCTGATGCAGGCTGGTCCTTTTCCTCTAGATGAAGAAACTGAGGGCCAGAGAGCTGGAATGAGTAGTCCACACTCACATTGGTGGGAGCAAAACAAGCTCCTGCAATGCCCATGCTTCTTTCTAACATTTTGAACAGTTACATAGTTATGTATATATTTCTTACTATCTATGTTGTAAGCTTCCTGTAGGTTCTGTCACATCTGTCTTCACACCATCTCTAGCACCTGCCAGAGTCCTTGGAGCAGAGCAGAATGCTCAACAAATATTTGTTGACAAACCCACTGGAGTGTGAGCTTCATGAGAACAAGAATGAAAGCCAGCTTTTAATGAGAGCTTTCATGTGCCAGGAAGTGCTCAGT